TTCTTCCATTAATCAGTGGAACAACTTGCCTCCAGAGGTTGTGAATGCTCCAACACTGGAGGTTTTTAAGATATTGGATAACCATTTCTCCAAAGTGTTGTAGGTTTTCCTGCCTAGAAGACCTCCAAGGTCCCTTTCAACTCTGTTATTCTAAGTAAGCATAACCATGATACAGGGACACTGCTTTATATACTTCCTCTTTAAACTACTTTAGGAAGTTGCTTATTAATGATTTTCTGGAGGTTAAGACTCTACTGAAAGATGACAGGGAGATTTTCCTTCCACCCCAGATAAAAGAAGTTCTAAGTAAGTTTAAAGATTAACAAGAAAGGCTTTAATTTTTTGGAAAACAGTAAAAGAGGGACTAGAATGTTGATTTTGGAAAGTTAAGGGGCAAGATGGACTTGAAAGAATAATTCCTGTGGGGTGTTTAAAAATTAATAAAAGAATATATGCGGCATTTGAAAATAATTGTAAGATATCCTCCAGTGGGAACGTTTTGTTGATTGGAAAATAGAAGATAAGAGGAGACTTGAAGGAGAGAACAAAATATTACTTTTAAATGAGAAAAGCTCTATTAGCAACACAATTGACTATAGAAGCAATTAAGACTGTTTGGGAACAATATACTCAAAAGTTATTATTAAGATCTTTTGATACTGTAACAGGGGATGTAGAAGAACTGATTTTACTAGATAAAAGAGAGCCTGGGATTAATTTGAATATGGATTTGGAGTTAAAAAAATATTGAATTACACATTAAGTGAAATTTAAAAAATGATACTATGGATCTGAAAATGGATTTTAAAATGCCAGAGTATAAGAGTGATGTGGAATAGNTTTTTTTTTGCAATAAGCATTAGCTAAGTGATGTCATATTTTATGTACATGAAACCCTGGGAATCATGATGTAGTATGACTCCCAAATATATTTTGCCATTATGCCATCATAGTATAATTTCCTGCAGTTTTGTCGTATCAATGGCTTCGTACACCCAGAATAATGCTATTGAAACTGATATGTTGGAGTGAATCCCTCACTATAATTTATCTATATATCTAGATAGAGGAAAGTTGAACTCTTCTTGATTTAGAAATTATTTTATACAATAATTAGTTCTTGGGCTTGCTTAAAATCTAGCATTTTAGCCCAATACTCCATAGAAAATATATTATACTGCAATCCTATATATTATATTAAAATAAATAAATACATTTCCTGAATAAATCCAATATTTATTTGGCCAAGGTACATCTGCAAAACATAGACATTTCAATGAAATCCTTTAAAACTTCTTCCAGTAACTATAACACTAAATTTATGGATAGAATAAATACTAATAACACAATCTGGGAAACAGAAAATGTCATCTCTAAGTTGCACTAATATAATAATTTACTAATAAATCATTTATGTATTAATTGCTGAATGAATTGTATGGATGCACTCAAATAAGTGTACAAACTCACATCTGAATATATGGCTCTTACATGACCTTTCCATGAACTATATATGATGGCTGTAGTAATGAAATTGTTCTGCTTCTTGATCTGATGTTCCCACAGACTGAAACAATTAGTTTTTTTGATTTATTTATCCAGGCTCTATAGAGCTTCTAAATTGAAATAAATCGGCAGAAACTGAGCACATTTCCCAGAAGCTAGTCTACAAAAAATATTTATTGAACTAATACATTATTTAAGACTACAAGCAGTCTTCCTGCCCCAGGGAGTCTAAAGATTCGTTCCCGATTTTTTTAAAAAAAAAGATACTATGCAGATACTGGGCAGGGATAAAAAGAATCTTGTATTTTCTTTCTTATAATAGGATGAACATAAAAGAAGCACTTCATACCAATTACTTACATTTGTTATTTAGATAACAACACAACCCACTAGCCAATCTCTCTATGCTTGGTGGATGTTATCGAAAATTAAATTTAAGGAAGCAATATAATATTGAATTTGAGGCTGTGACTTTTTTTAAAAAAATACTATAATTACAAATCCAACCAACATTTCACTAAAGTTATTAAGTTTACATCAATCAATTGTCTGCTCCTTAGAAACAGTCTATGTATCACTTATAGAGAAATTCCAAACAGTTTAATTAACCTAAATCAAATAGATAAAAGCAAATAGATTGAAGCCTTGAGCCTAAAAGTCTAAACACTATGTGATTCACAGTTGTACAAAATCAGCCAGGATTAGGTTCTGTTCATAACACAGAAGCTGGTTGAAATAGCCTTCAGGAAGAGCCATCAGATACAATGATGACATACTGACCAATAATCCATTTTGGATAATGAAATCATTGGTAGTAGGTCATGCAGACCAGGTGTGTCAAACTCATGGCATCACATTGTTGTCACATGATGTATCATAACTTTATGTATCATAAACCGAAGTGTATGCCCAGTGCATGACACATCCAGCCCGCTGGCTGCGAGCTTGACATCCATGCAGTACACTGTGTTCTCTGCTGTAGCATTGGGTAATATCTTCTCCTCTATCTTTCATTCCATTTTCTGACACAGTGCATGATGAGTGTTATCTATACATTAGTACACATTACATCAGGCTGCCCCATTAGTTGTAGCAAACAAAGTATACTTAGATACCATCTGCCAGGGTATCTTTGTTAGGCCCCAGGTAGCAGGACTTTTCTGATGCGGCCCTCACTTTATGGAACAGCCACGCCCTTTCATCCCTCTTCATGTTTCAGAAGTTCCTCAAGATCTGCGTATGCGACCATGCCTGTATCTCCCAAGATACCAGAGACATGTTTGGATGGCTCCATTATTGAGATGGAAATCCCTGCCTGGGATTTGTATATATTTTAATTAACCTCTAATTATTTTAATTTTGACTTTTTATATTTTTAAATGCTTGTTTTTACATATGTAGTGGTTTTTTTAAAATATTGGACTATTGTATGCTATCCAGAATCATATCTTGTGAGATGGCCAGCTATTTGTAAGTTTGATTAATAAATAAGTAAAACAAATGCCATAAAATCTTGGTGGAATTTTCTGCATTTCCAAATTTGGAATTGTTCTGCAGGATGTTTCACATTTCAGAATCATCATATGTTACAAACATCTTATCTTTATCCACTGTTGCTGAGAAGTTCAGCATTGGTTCAATATCTGTCCATGTGGTCACCATATTTCATTGACCTATTTTAAAGGGGAATCTTTAAAATTATGTTATGTTCAACAGGTATTTGTCTGAGAATGTTATATAAGTACAGGTAGTCCTCACCTTACAACAACTCATTTAGTGACCNATAGGCTGTTCAGATAACAGAATTTAACCACATTGATAGACATGATTAATTGACACTCCAGAGCCTCTATAATAAAAATCAGTAGAATAATTCGGGTTCACATAAAGACTTTATACTGTATGTTGGATGCATTTGTGTAACTTCACTTGACCAGGCTGCCTATTTCTTCATTTAAAATACTAGATACATATAAAACGAAAATCCAAGGAAGAAACTCTGATCACCTTGTCTATGGAGATTCTCAGTCATCCAGGTCATGGATGTCCCAATGATGCTTTTTCAAAGGCAACTTTACTTTAATTTCCTTGAAGTCATTTTGCTTCTTATCCAAGAACTGACTGAGCTGAAGAGGCTTTTTGGATCAGAAGCAAAATGTCTTCAAGGAAAACAAAGTCCAGTTGCCTTTTGAAAAAGCATCTTTGGAATTCTGATATCATTGTTTTACTGGGATACTATGGCAGTAATTTACTCAGTCTCAGTCTCTAAGTATGTTTTTAAAGCTGTTAGTCTGATTTATCTATTTTCAGGACTGAAGCATGTTAAAAACTGCTACTACCCCCAATCATTATTCAGTTAATTAATGGAAATTCTAAAGAGATAAGTGGACTTAGAGTAAAAACATATGGTTTTATTAATCTGGTTACAAAGTACCTGGATCTTAAAACCATATTAGGCTTGATTGTGTACATTTCTTCTGCACTTGACTTACAATTGAAATATTTCATAGATTTAGTTTTGTATTCTAAAATATACCATACAGAAATAGGCAGGATCATGCTGCCTCTCCCCACCACTGCTTTGCCCTTCATAAGTTTCCTGATTTTTAGAAGCTTTGGTGACCAGTTTCAAAATCATAAGGAAGGTATGCAAATTCCTGTCATCACAAGTACAGTAAAACTTCGGTAAAGTAGACCTGCATTTCATAGATGCAAGGTGCAATGTACTTTTTTTTCCCCTTGTACAGAGTCCACCCATATTTAATGGGATAATATGTGCTAATAGATTAACATTTGCCCATTAAATCAAGGCTCAACCCAAAAACACAATTTGCATCAATTAAATCTTCCACAAATAACATAAATTCAGATTTAACAGCCATTTGAATTTAAAGGGCATTCTCTTTCTTCCTTCCTAAATGGTCCATAAAAATCAAGAATTAACTACATTTCAGCAATATGTGGACTGTGCAAAGACAGAGACTAATAAAAAAACATGACAAGTCTTGGGTCAGGGGCCATGGCTCCATTTTCCCAGCTTTGTTTGTTATTACTAGCATTATGTAGAGAGATCTTTGTCCTTAATTTCATTTAGAATACTTGTGTGTTTATTTGAATATCTCTTTCTCATTAATACCATACCAGTATATAAAAATAAACTTTCATAACAGCAAAATCAAGTTTGGGAGGGAGGAAATTGTTTCTTTAAAAAGCTGCCCAATTTCTTCAATTTACTGTTCACAAGTTTATAGAAATCATAACTATTATAAAGAGATAAGGGCACAGTCAATATGAATTAGCACAAAAGCATTATAGTGCAAGAACTTGATGCTAAATTGATGCTGAATTTTTCTCTGTATAGATAACAGAGAATTCCCCATGTATTCCCCAATTAAGCATAAGAAAGAAGGAAGAATTTGTGACTTTTGACAATTATTGTTGAGGAGGGAAAAAAATAACAATTGCCAAAAAAATCACAAGGTATGACATGTTACCTGGCTATGACAAAGAGCACACAACTGACACCCAAGTAAGCCAGCAGAATATACATCCAGATATCAGGGGAGAGAGGATTCAGGAAGGAGAAGACACCCGGGTTTGTACCATTGGGCTTGTGGTACAAAATACTTATTCCGAGAGTCATAAAGGGCTTGGAAAAGTCGATGACCGTCTCTCGAATATACGTAATTGCCAGGGGTGCAACTGCAAGGTCAGCTTTCTGTTTGCAAAGGAAAATGAGAAAGAGAGAGAAAGAAAGAGAGAGAGAGAAAGAGACACAGAGAGAATAGATGGTAAGTCAAAAGCAGTTGGAAGAAGTAGGCAAACAAATTAAATAAGACTTTACATTTGGAAATCTGTCTTGGTACCAAGTATGCTGAAATTTAAAACCCTGCTTTTGTCCTTCTCCTCTTCCTCCTCTGATAAAATGGTCAACATTTACAGTTACTTTTCCCTGAAGAGTTCTGAACGTAAGTGTTGACAAATGAAGTTAACACTGCACAGAAAAATATATAGGAAAATATATGTGGAATTATTTCTACTGTTTCATACTACACAATAATTTTGATTGTTTTTTTAAATATGTTGGAAAACCATTTCAGAAATATAAGGTGTGATAAATTTATATGCTGATAGTTTTATTAAACTTAATCTTTATTCTGTTATGATTTTTCTGTCACCCCTCTTAGATATGCCTGGGTGAAGACCATTCTATTTTGTACCTAACTAGCTAAAATCAGCCTCCCTCAGGAAGCATGCCATGTCATCTAAGATGAAACATGTAGAATATGTTAACCTTCATGCAATAATTGTTGAACATTTGGTTATTTTGGGGGAACATATTATTTTTATAGGTTAGTTTTGGCAATATATTGGTTTTATTTATTGGATAAGTACAATGTTTTGATTATATTTTTAGTATGCAATAAATTGCTTTTATTTGATTCTTTCTGAGCCTCTGATACAGCAACTCAAGGTCAAAATTGAAAAGAATAGTCCAAATCATCAGAATATTTTCAAAAACACTTCTATCAGAAATCTGTATATATGGCAAAAGTTGAAGATAAATGGGAAAGCTCATGAAAATATATTTTAAAAAAAATATGTAGGTTATGTTCCCAAAACATGGGTTTGAGGAAACATAAGTAACATTGTGATAAGAAAACTACGGTAACTCAATGAACTATAAGCCAGACGGCTCAAGTTCCCTCATTTTGCACTGAAAAAGATTCTAATGTAAATATATAAAATTAGCACTAAGGGCTCAATATTTATGAATATTAATAATTTTAAAGCAAATGGATTGCAGCCCATGGCCTCTGTCTTATGCCCTGCCTTGATGGTATACTTGATGGTGGGCTGCATGATGGTGATTTGATGAGTAACAAATTTGAAATAGAAAATAGGTCCAACTTTATCCAGATAATGAAAGATTATCACAACATTTTGGTAAAGTTCTGCCATTTTCACTTTAGAATATGTCTATTTATAATTTAAAATATGATACCATCTTGATTTACATGAATGTTTTTCAGGGTCACTCATTCTCTACAAAATATAAATAACAAAGATTTTCTCTGTGTATCAGATAATATTTTTCACCAGACAGTTAATTACTTTGAATCACATCCTTGCTGACATTTTGATTTAGACCTCTGTTACCATGCACAATACTTGGCAAGTTATAATGTCTGCAGCCTCAAAATATATTTAAAAAATAGCGTCTGTTCTGACTTAATAAGCCCTCTTCTTTTAACAACAATGATGCACGTAACTCTATATAAATTGTCATTCCCTGCCTTTTTTTAAAAAAACAAACAAACAAAGGTAATGAAAATATCCTGGAAATACAGGAAGGGTGAACAATCCCTTGTCCCTATAAAGCTCCCACTGCCTCATATATATTCTTTAGCAGTGGCATATTTCAGTTGCCCATCCCTGTTTTGGAGACTAGTTTCACACATCACTCTAAGCCATGGTTTTTAAATTAGCGAGCGTTGATCAAGTCGTAGTTCATAAATGAGCTCCATATTGCTCCAAAATTTAAGTATAACATTTATCTGCTCTTGCGTTCTGCCACGTTTAATATTAAGGCTTTTAAAGAATGTATGCAATATAGACCTTTCCCAATTTACATACAGAAATGTTGGCAGAGCTTTATTGGTCCACTGCCTTATTTGTATTTAAAATTCATCGTACAACGAGGTGATATAATGTTCTTATCTACATTATCTTAAGTCAATGTACACATATTAAAGCCTAAATACCAGAAGTAAATGCAGAGTAATACATTCCCTAATTTGAATTTAAGTAAGATTTGACAGCTTGGCAGGCATGGAATAGTTTGAAGAGAAGCCTTGGTTTTTTTTACAAAAAAAAGTATTACTAAGGAAGTTCTGTGAGCTCTAAAGGTAAAGATAAAGGTTCCCCTCGCACATGTGTGCTAGTCGTTTCCGACTCTAGGGAGTGGTGCTAATCTCCGATTCAAAGCCAAAGAGCCAGCGCTATCCGAAAACGTCTCCATGGTCATGTGGCCAGCATGACTAAACACCTAAGGTGCACGGAACACTGTTACCTTCCCACCAAANTCTTCTCTGTACTTTTTCTAGAGTCTCAACATCTTTTTTATAGTGTGGTGACCAAACTACCAGACCAAATTGACAGATTAAATATGTCAATAGATTGTCTGTTTGACCACAGTGACATTGCCTGCTGGACTAACATGAATAGGAACACCTAATTCCACAGAGAAGTGAGCATCAAAAACATTTTGCCATCTTCCCTTTGACCTTTGAACTAAGTGACTTAACTAGCATCAAACTGATTTGCAAGCTCTGGCATCTTTCTATTATATACAGCACTTCAATATGAAAAATGCCAAGATCTGGAATCTATGATAAATTGTATTTTTTTTCAGACCTAGAAGTTGGCTAAATCCACTTTTCTATATTGTTTAAAGGAGAAATCTATACCGATTTGCAGCAATTGATTGTTATGTGTTGCTTATCAACATTTCAGTTAGGACTTGAAAAAATAGAAGAGAAGGTGAACGCAGGAGTGGGGGGGAGCCTTTCAAGCAATGTGGTGAAAACCATTGAAATTGTTTTGCTTTGCAACAAATGTCCAGGAGCCCCTTTATCTTACTTCTTTTTCCTCTCAAACTGCTATGCTTATTAATTCTGAGAGAGTGCTGCCCTTTTAGTGCTATCACACATATTGGCATCTTTAAAAAAATGAGGAGAGAAGCACATTTAGAGAACTTACAAAAATGTCTCTCCTTCAGCATAGAATTGTGAGATAACCCCCAGTACAGGAACACAACTTTAAAAGTGTTTCACACATTGCCATAGAGATTCTTGACAATCCTGCTATTAATTCACTAAACAGGTAATATATAGCTATAGGGTAATCTAGGACAGAAATTCAAACACCATTATAAGGAATTATTTCTGAGTCTCTTTGCTATCACCTTGTAGTTGTCTGGATATTTGCAGCCTAAGCCTCATAGCTCTTACAACCTCATAGCTCTACATAAAGCTGTTGAAAAAAGGGGGGAAGTAAAAATGAAAAGGCAAAATGTCTAGAGCTATAGGAAAACCTGGAACAATTATGTTTCCTTTAGGAATCTTAACCTATCTCCCATTTGTTCAAGCTAATATTCTTTGACGCTAATGGGGAAGAGAATGTATACAAACGATGAAGATGTAGATAACAGTTACATTTAGGCAGAAAGGCCTTCCCACTTACAACAAATGCTATTTGAAACTACCTTTTAAATGTTTAGGTATAAATACTAAAAATGAAAAATATTTAAAAAGTTTAAAAATCTTAATATCCATACTGATTGTAACTCTAAATCCTTGGCTTCTTGCTCTAAAGCAAAATTAAAGTTTTTAAAAAAGAAAATGATGTTTTTTNTCTTTTCATTGTTTCCCTTTTTAAATTCTAAATATTAGTTCTTGTTAGTTTTTAATTATGTATTTTTTAACAAAATTGTATTTTTAAAAATAGTTATGAGATTGAAACATTATGCACATTGTCCATTGATTCTAGAAAGCAAAGTAATGTAACTGATGTTATAAAATAAATTGATTAACCAAAGGTTATGGTAGCCTCATCTGAAAAAGAAAATACTGTAAAACTTATCCCAGAAACAATTGAAACTACTATATGTGAGAGAATGTGTAAAACACATATTATAGTTAACTCTGAGCATTATTTACTATTTCTTGAAATCTCATGTAAAAGTTCAAGGTTAATAAGCTTAATACTGAATTTTGTGGTACTGTGAAATTTAGAAAACCTCCAAGAATATGAGATTTTTATGCACTAAACAGGAAAAAAAATTAAAAGACAAACATATTTTTACAGTTTTTAAAATATCAGTCTACAGAAGTTTTGGATTCTACTCTTCATAAAAAGTTCTGCTCAAATTTAGTTTGAGAAAAATATTTTATCTAGAGCTATGAAAGCTGGCAGTAGATGTTCAGAATTTAATACTATGCTTGAAAATTGTTTGAAGAAAAAAAAACATATTAGGGACATGATAATAAGGTCATACCTAGAATTTATCAAGAAACAATAATATATTTCTGTTCCTTTAATGGCCTATTTTAATTTTTAAAAATACAAACCAAGTTTGAAATGATATATCTTTGAGTTTTCAACTGATGGCATTTCTTCCACTTATGGAATGGTTTACATCAGTATATGCATGTTACTTTTAATATATGGCATGAAAATGTTTCACTGTTTTGCACTTCAAAGCCATCAATTCCCCATGCATCTCTCAACTATTATCTCAATCTGGAATAGAGGCTGTCAAATTTGCATAGAGGGGTGGGAAAAGATTCTAGTGAAAAAAACAGAAGCAATCAATGGATGGAGTGACATATAAACCTAGTTAAATAAAGACAGGTAGTTCTTGATTAACGAAAGCAACTGGGACTGGAATTTTCATTGCTGTGCAACATAGTTGTAAAGTATGATATCACATGACCAAGTCACTTAGCAATGGGAAATTCTGGCACTTCCGATTGCTGTCATAAAACAAATCATCCAGCAAATCATTGAGCAAGGAGGTTTGCCACTTGCAACCTCCCGCCATCTTCCCTACTGACTTTGTAGAAAGTCAGCAAAGAAGTTCACAAATATGATGACATGGCTGTGGAATTCTACAATGTCATAATTTTCAGATGGCATTGAATGCTGCAATCAACA